AAGATAGCCGTTACTCAATTGTCCCTGATTAATGTAGCGGGTAATCAATCATAAGTTTACTGTGTCCAAGTAATCTAACAAGAAGGGACTATACTGGACTTTAAGAAGTAAATAGTATATTATACAATAAATTATAGAGTAATCTAAGTAATTACTGAGTAATCTGTGTAATTACTGAGTAATCTGAGTAATTACTGAGTAATCTAGCGGATAATCAACGATAAGTATACTGTGTCCAAGTAATCTAACAAGAAGGGACTATACCCTGAACTTTAAAAAGTATATATATTACACATAGATGTCAACAAATTTTTCACCCAATGGATTGAACTGCGTAAAACCTCTTAGCCTAATGTTTAAAAAGACAAAATTTTCATAATATTCGAAACTTTAATAAAAGCGCAAAGTCTAAATGACTTATACATTGACTTTAAAGTTTTAATTTCTATTAAATCCTGTTCCTTCTTAGACACCATTTAATCTAAAGCCAAGGGATAAGAATTTCAGAAGACATAACTATTTTATCAATATAGATGACATCACGCTGTTATAACATCTCGAATATGACCAAAAATATGATATCTTGGAAACCTGATGTGATGTGAACACGTTTTTTAATACTTTAGAAAAGTGTACTTTAGTCCTTTAGTTTCTTTAAATTTTGTCGGTATCTCCATGTTCCCCCTTCGGCATTTAACGTTTGCATATGACAAGCATAGTTTAAAATTACTATTCACAAAGCTAAATGGGAAATTTCATAACAGTCACCCCGAATTGCAGGTGATGCTTAAACAAAAGTCTGTCTATACATACATACGTATGTACATATGTAGAATTATGAGTTGCCATGGCAAGCTCTTAAAATAAAAATCAAAAAAACAGAGTCCTTCAAGGAATATTGGCAAAATTATGACGCATTAAATTTACTCAATAGTGCATGTGATTGCATCAGTAATCATATTATAGGTAGTACATGATGTTGGGGGGCTTAAATGGAGCTTAAAGGGTGTCCCATAAAGAGATGATAATTTTACATGAATTCAAAATAACAAATTCAAATATTTGAAATTCAGCAAAAATTCAAATTTCCCTGTAGCAAAAAAACTAAAGCGAGAAATTAAATAATAAATTTCCTTTTTACACATATGACACCAAACAATGCACTATATGCGATGACATTGTTTTTGTTGTTTTTTTTTTTTTTTTTTTTCCTCAAATTTAAACAAAGCTATTTATTCCTAAAGAGAGCAAAAATAGCTAGAGATGGCAGGAACAATATATTGATTTATTCTCATCAACTTATAAAACACATTTGGTTCAAATGAAAATGTAATAATAATGAATAAAAGGATGGTAAAAAAAAAGGTGCTTCCAAAAATATATTTTCATTACTTGTTCAAGGGTCTAGGAAAAAACATCCTTAAGTAAGCAAGACCACACCAAGTGATAAAATCACAATAATTTGTTTTTAGATAGTAAATAGAACAATTAAAAAAATAGTAGTTAATGGATTCTAGACCTCACACACTCACTACAACAGACCATAGAAATATAAAAACAATAGCAAGCAACTTTTTTTTTAGAAAAAAATGGCTTTTTGGATTTTAAGAAAGGGAACATTTGCTAAACAAGGCAACCAGCAGCAGGCTGTTAGCTATAAAGAAATTTAATTTAATGTATATTAATATAACGTAAATAAAAGGAAATCAAATTGATAACATGTTTACCCACATTATTAAAACTCAATAACACACACACACACACACATTTCCTTCCTACACACCATCATAACAACATTAAAAATAAATCAAAACCCATGAAAATTACGAAAAACAAAATTATTTTTAAAAACGATATCAATTCAACATTAAACTAAAAGTACTTTTTCACAAAAAGTTTATTTTGGGCCAAATAAAGAAATTGACATTTGACCTTTGAACTAGAAATACACATACATACATACATACATAGTAGTTTGATAATTTGGCTTTAATTATAAATTGCCAAATTATAGACTACATAAAAAATTGAATAGGTTTTAATAATTTTATGGGAAAGAGCTTCGAATAAATTAATGTTTTATTTAAATTTTGTTTAATAAAAATCTAAATTTAGAAATAAAAAGGTATGAATATCATTGCATGAAACGTATAATAAATAATTAATTATTTTCATTGTTATAGAAATAGAAATAATTGAATAATTTAATGTTTCAATAGAGATTGATTGACTGATACATATACAAAATTAATTTATTTGTTGTAATTCTTTTACAACAAAAGGAACCGTTGAATTACGTCCTTACATATATCAAAGTGATAAGATTACAACTGTATTTGATTCAAACTTGAAATATTAAAAGATATTCGATTTGAATATTAAAAGTGATAGACAAAACTTCCACATAGATAAAGTTTATTTCTCTGTATTGACAACGAATGGATTTATAGTCGACTATTAGGACTATTATTCATTCATATCATTGCAGTACTAAACAGTAAACTACTTACAAAACATAGGAAGTGATCCAATGAATATGGATCCAAGACAACGAAAGGAGTTGGTGATAGCATCTTCAATGAAGAATTTGGAACTAAAATCTCTTTTAGATTCAATGATGAATCTAGGATCTTTCAAGCTGATATATTAGCGATCGAATTGACTATGGTACTATCGGATATCTAACAGAGAATCGAAATTTAAGTTGACTGGAAAAAGACCAGGTGCCAAATTCTGGCATTCGAAAGCGAACGAAATTTCTAATAAAATTTTATAAAATTCTATTTAGGTTTCGATCGATATCGAATGCTAGAATTTGCCACCATTTTTGTGAAGTTCCACTACCGGTAATTAAGAAACAGTTCATAAGTATCTGTAATTTCAAGGTTTAAGACCTATGGTAGAGTGAGTGAGTACACGTGCTCGATAGCTAGAGGATTGTGATCTCATATGGACCCAAGAAGATCTATCTATCGCATTTGAATTCAAACACTACAATTAGTTAATCTGGTATCGGTCATTACCGGTCACTGTTAATATGGTAACCATATCTAAACGCATCAGTTTTACAAACTTTAGATTATTCGCAAATCTATTCGATTCGTGGAATAGTTTCAACTTTCCAATTTTTCGAACATTGAGCAGAATATAGAAATAATGATAATTTCCTAATATAAAGAAAAATAGAACTTAATTTCGAACATAATGAAAATTCGAACTCATTTCAAATGTTTTCAGTTTAAGAAAATTTTAACAGAATTTCCAAATTTTCGAATAAAAAGCTAATTCGATTCGAATTTCAAATTTTTAGAACATAAGAAAATTTGAAATATATTCGAACTTTATGTAGAAATTTCAATTATAATTTCGAACTTTCGAATATAATCAAAATTTAAATTTATTTAAAAGTTTTTATAACTTAAAGAAAATTTGAACAGAATTTTGAAATTTTCGAACATAAAGAAAATTCTAATTTAATTTCTATAATTGAGAACCTAAAAAAAATGAACCCAATTTCGAAATTTTCGAACATCGAGCAACTTAGAAAAAAATTAAATTTTTGAAAATTATTAAATTCAAATTTAATTTCGAATGTTCGAACGTAATGAAAATTCGAACTTTATTTAGAAAATTCGAAGGTTTTTACCACTTAAAGGAAATTTGAACTAATTTCGAAAATTTCGAACATAAAGAAAATTCAAATTTTATTTCAAAATTTGAAATTATAACAAAGTTTGAACAGAATTTCGAAATATCCAAACATTGCGAAAATTAGAAATATCAAAAGTTTTCGTAAATGATTAAAATTCGAACTTGATTTGGAAAGTTCGAACATAATAAAAGTTCAAAATTAATTTGAAAATTTCGAACATAATTAAAATTCTAAATAAACTACAAATAACAAAAATTTTCGAATGTAATGAAAATTCGAACTAAATTTAAAAATTCGAACATAATGAAAATTTTAACTTATTTTAAGGTTTTTAGCACTTAAAGGAAATTTGAACTGAATTTCGAAAATTTCATAAACATAAAGAACATAAAGAAAATTCGAATTTAATATCGAAATTTTCGAATATTGGAACATAAGAAATAATGAGAATTTTGAAAAATGTTTAAATTTCGAATTTGATGTTGAAAGTTTAAACATAAAGAAACTTCGAACTTTATTTCAAAAAATAGAACTATATTTCGAAAATTCGAACATAATGAAAATTCTAAATTTAGTTCGAATCTTCGAAAATAATGAAAATTCAATATTAATTTGATAAATTCGATTATAATTTCGAAATTTCGAATATAATTAAAATTCAAACTTATTTGAAGATTTTTACCACTTAAATTCGAACTGAATTTTGAAAATTTTGAACATAAAGAAAATTCGAACGTTATTTCAAAATTTGAGAACAAAAAAAGTTTTGAACTGTATTGTGAAACATTAGAAAAATTAAAAATAAATAAATTTTTCGAGAATGATTAAAATTCGAACTTTATTTAGATAATTCTATCATAATTTCGATTTTTACCACTTAAAGGAAAATCGAACTAAATTTTGAAAATTTTGAACATAAAGAAAATTCGAACGTTATTTCAAAATTTGAGAACATAAAAACTTTGAACTGAATTGTGAAACATTGGAAAAATTATAAATAAATAAAGTTTTCGAAAATGATTAAAATTCGAACTTAATTTAGATAATTCTATCATACTTTCGAATATAACGAAAATTTTAACTTATTTGAAGGTTTTTCACTTAAAGGAAATTTGAACTGAATTTCGAACATAAAGAAAATTTTAACTTTATTTCATAATTTGAGAACAAAAAAAGTTTCTACTGAATTTCGAAATATTCGAAATATTCGAAAATTAGAAATAATAAGAATTTTCGAAAATGATAAAAGTTCAAATGAAAATAAAAATTCGAACTTAATTTGGGAAGTTGGAACTTAAATTCGTAAATAACAATATTTTTTACAAAATTATAAAAATCTGATACTTACATCACGAATTTCTTTAATTTTTTGACCACCTTTGCCAATAATACAACCAGCCAAACTTTGATGAATCAATAAACGTACATCGTATTCATTATCGCGCTGAAATATAAAGAAAAACATAAATTTAGAATTATATTTGAATACACTTTAAGCAAACAAATAACTCACCTCTTCATAGTATTTCAGCATTTCGGTTATAATCGATATGGTGGCATCTAATTCGGCCGATATTAATATAGTACTAGAGTTGTTAATAGAGAGAGAAAGAGGGAAAGAAAAAGAAAACAAAATTATTAAAAACATTAATTATTTACTAAATATATTTAGTTAATAAAACTATTTTTGCAAATTTATTAGTACAATAATACTCTCATCAACAATTAAAAATATTAGAACGTTTTTTTGGTTTTCTTTCAAACAGATTTTTTCCCACACATAAGTACATTTAAGGACATTAATTTAAAAGAGAGAGAAAAAAATTAAACATCTAGCAGTTTTATTTTTTTTTACATAAAGGTGGGTGGTAATTTGGTGGTGTATTTACAACAGCAACAGAAAATAAAAGAATGAAGTATATATTAAGTAAAAGTATACCTTACAATATTAAAATGTTAATAATGTCATAACAGAAAAAAAGGTCAATATTCTTTCCTTTCAAGGCAACCACCTTAAATATGTATGTATGTTACATAAATATTTACTTTTGTTTGTTTGTTTGTTTGGAGCTTTTTGGCAATTTGTTAAAATTTATGTTAAACAAGGACATAAGAAAAAGGGTTTGTTTAACCAAAAAGTCTTTTAATAAAGAAAATATATAAAAATACAAAACTATGTTGTTGTTTAAAATGATGATGACATTGTTAATAATGAGTTGGAAGACAAATATACTGATATTGATTAATTATTTGAAGAATGAACAAAGTTAACAACAGAAGAAAAAACGGTTTAAAGTTAATTTAGTTAAGTGATTATTAGCAGTATAATTAAGGCTAAACTTAATAGTTTCAAAGAAGTTTAACAAGGTTTTTGAAAAGTCTAACAGTTCAAGATTTCCTTAAAAGCTAAACAAACATAAATACACTTAAACAATTAGTATTAAGAAAAAATACTTATTTATGAAAAATGGTAGAAAACACACAAACAAATTTGCAAATTTAATAATTTAAGTGTTTTATATTTAACTTAAAAAAATAAGTTATATTTTAATCACAAAGTTATGCAATTGTTTTTATAACTTAGTAAAGGAAAAAAAAGTAAAGCATGCTTTTAGGAACTAAAACAATAATAATATTTAAAACATAATTTTAGAGGATCTTTATTTAGTCAATTTTCTCGCAGTAATTTCTTTTTTTTTTTTTTTTGGTCATTTCAATTACAAACGTATTTCTTTAATGCGCAGTAATTATGGTTGCAAATAAAAATATAAGTTTATCAACTCATTAACGTAATAACAAGGAAATGATGAAGAAGAAGAACACACTTATAAATTACTTTAGTTTTTCATGTTTATAAGGAAAAACTTGTTTAAAGTTTTTTTTCTTTTTTTTTTTTTTTTGTATGTAAAACTAAAACTGGCTGAGGCATTAATAAATGTTGTAATGTGTTGTTGTATTACAACAAGTAGAACACCAAGGAAAAGAAACCCCCAGTAGGTTTTTGGCAAAAGTTAATCAATTAAAATTTAACATAGATGATTGGCGGCAGGTTGATAAAGATAAAATAAGATACAAATTTCGATAAAAAGTTTTAAAGTACAATTTTGTAACAAATATTATTTGTTTTTCAATAAAAAATTTACAAGCTTTAAGTTAATTCTATAAAACTTTGAAAGTTATTATGAGTTATCATTTTGTGGTGAATGTTTGATATTTATTTGAATTTCCGGATTTTTAATAATTCCATATAAAATGATTTCTTTTTTTTTGTGTAAAAATGAGATTTAGATTTGGAATCATACAATGTCAAAGAGAATTTTCAATTTTCACATAATTTCGAAAGTTTTGAACTCTTGACAATTCGAAAATTTGAAACTAACGAAATTTCAACATAATTTAATGATAATTCGAAATTAATTTCGAAATTTTCGAAATAAAGAAAATTTTAACTTTTAACAAAATTTTGCAACCTAAGAAATGTTAAAATTAATTTGCAAAATTTTCGAACATGAAAATTTTCGAATATAGATTCGATATTTTTGAACATAATTTCAAAATAATAAAAATTCCAACTTAAATTTCCACATTTTCCAGTGTAAGGAACATTTTTAAATAATTGGAGAATTTCGAAACTTTCGTGCAACTTTGATGATTTGAACCTAATTTTGAAATTTTCGTAATAATTAAAATTTGAAATTTTCAAACATGAAATATGATACGAACTAAAGAAAAATATATTCAAACAAGTTTGATATTTCGAAAATTTTGAACATTATGAAAATTCGAACATCTGAATATTAAAAATTATTCAACATAAAAATATTCGAAATAGATAATAAAAATTCGAACCTTATTTCAAAATTTCGAACATAATAAAAGTTCAAAGTTAATTTGGAAAGAACGAACATAATAAAAATTCGAAATAAATTTCAATTACGGAAATTTTTGGAAATAATGAAAATTCGAATCAAATCAAAGTTTAAACTTATTTAAAAATTCCAAATAGCGAACATTTTCAAATATAATGAAATTTCGTTTTTGAATATTCAAACACATGTATATTCAAAAATTTTCAACATAAAGGATCCTACTCAAACTTGATGTCGAACATAAAAAAGATTCGCACTTTCAAAATTTCATATAACGAAAATTCGTACATAATTTACAACGAACAGAAAGAAAATTTCACATTTTGAAACTTTAATGTGAAATTTTCGAACATGAAATATATCACGAACCAAATTTCCACATTTTCCAACATATTCAATGATTTCAATTTAATTTCAAAATATTCGAACATTATAAAATACATCTAATTCAAAATTATCCAACACAAGAGATATTCGAACTTGATTGCGAAAATTAAAAAAATTCAAAGTTTCATAATTTTCGAACATAACAAAAATTTGAACTTCGTTTCAAATTTGTTTTTAATATAACGAATTTCGAACTTATTTACAAAGTTTGAACATAAAAAAATCCGAACTTATTTTGAAACTTTATCAAATTTGAACTTAATTCAAACTTAAATTTGAAATTTTCGAAATAATGAATATGTATTCGATTTTTAATATCAAAATTTTCCAACTTAAGGGTAATTTCACAATTTTAACTTCAAAACATTCGAACATTATAAAAATTCGAATATACTTTCAAAATTATCCAACATTGCTTCGATGATAAAAAAGATTCGAACTTACTTTCGAAATTTTCGAATGAAAATTTAACTTAATTTCAAATTTTTTTAGTAAGGAAATTCAAAGTTCAAACATAATGAAAATTCGAAATCATTTTGAAACTTTATTAAAAGCTAAGTTAATTTCGAAATTGTCGATATAATGAAAATTCGAACTTAATTCAAACTTCAAATTACAGTCAAACTCGTTTATAACGAACTCCGCGGGACCAGTCAAATTTGTTCGTTATAAGAGAATTTCGTAATAACACAAGTGAAGTTTTTGTAGTTCCAAAAATTAAGTGGCATTTTACGAAATTTTAAGAATATGATTTATAAATTTATTTAATATTCTTTACAAAAAAACACCATTGATTTTATTTGTTCATATTTTTCTTTACAAATTTAAGTTTTTTTCAATAAAGCTTATGATTTCAACACATAATTTTGAAGTTCGTTATAAAAAAGGAAAATTGTATGAAATTGTACTTGAGGGACTGAAAAAGTAGTGCGTTTTATACGAGGATTCGTAATAACCGAGTTCGTTATAAGAGATGTTTTTTGTATGAAAATAGTTACCAAAATAGCGGCACTTGAAAACTTGTTCGTTATAACCGAGAATTCGTTAAAACCGAGTTCGTTATAAGCGAGTTTGACTGTAATTGTGAAATTTTCGAACATAAATACACATTCCAACGTAATTTAAAGATTTTTAAACAAGTTTGATCATTTTGAACATTACGAAAATTCGAAAATATATATTCAAAATTATCCAAAATAAAGGAATTTCCAAACTTGATTTCAAACATAAAAAAGATTCGAAATTTCAAAATTTTCAAACATAACGAAAATTTGAACTTCGTTTCAAAATTGTTTAATATAACGTAAATTCGAACATATTTTGAACTTAATTTAAACTTAATTTCAAAATATTCCAACATAAGGGAAATTTCACAATTTTAATTTAATTTCAAAACTTTTGAACATTATAAAAATTCAAAGATATTTTAAAAATTTTCCATTAATTAATTTCGAACATAAAATAATTTCGAAGTTATCTTCGAAATTTTCGATCACATCTAAAATTTTAACTAAATAATAACTCATGTTGAAACTTTATCCAATTTAAACGTAAGTTCGAAATTTTCGAACCTAGTTTCCGGTATTAAGGAATATTTGAGCCAAAATTCGAAATTTAATGACAATGATAATTTGAATTTAATTTTGAACATTATTATAATTCGACTGCTTTTTTAATTACTCAAGATAATGAATATTCACATAATTTCGAAATTTTCGAATATTGGAAAAATTCGTACATTGTTAATAAATTTTCGAATATAAAGAATATATTAACTCAATTTAAAAAGTTCAAAGGTAATGAAAATTCGAACACAATTTCGAAACTAACAAAAATTCGATTTAAATATGGAAATTATTGTTCTACTTTGGCGTTGAAACCAATGATTTTTGTTCCAAATTGTCACCTACGGAATTGGTTATGTAGAAGTGTTATGAAATTGAAACACGTATTATGGAATGGTACTGGAACAAGTTCTTTAATAAATGATTTTTGTTAGAGTTTGTCAAACTCGGAACTAGTTCTAGAAAAGTTTTAATGAACATATACTACTTCCATAGATAAGTTCTGGAACTAGTTCTTTTCTCAGAGATTTTTGTTTGAAATTGTTATGATTAGAATCGATTTTGAGAAAGAGTTGTGGAATTACAGTTAGCTTATATTTAGAAGTTTTACTTACAATATCTTTTAGAAAATGAATTATATTTTGAAATCATTCAGTCCTTTATTTAGCGGCTGAATTGAATAAATTATAATTTTCAATATTCTCGGTTTAATTGCTTTGAGATGTTTTATTGAAGCAGAGTAGTGCCAATGGTTATCTAGTGCAAAAGAATTGATTTCTAGAAAACTCCTTCGAGGAACTTTAAAATCACAATAATGCTGTAGAGAAAAAGTTCTAGGAGGTATAACTATGGATGTTATTCAAGAATCTGAACTGGTTCAGTTTAAAATTACGAATTTCGAAATGTTTATTGTATGAAATTAAATTATAGTTCTAGAACTTATAAGTTTATTACTTTGTACATTATTCAAAATCCTTTTAAACTGATCATAAGATGGCTTAAGAAAAAGCGATATTTAAAAAACTCACTACGGAATATGTGAGGTTATGTTTCATGAGTTAGAAATTTAGCGAATACCAAATTGAATGGTTCTGGAGAGAACTCAACATGTTAATGAATTGATCTTTCAGATTTCAAATTTATAAACTCTCTGTACATTCATCCAGTTATATAAATTAATTACAAATGTGACAAAAAAAAAACAATAAATTAGTTAAAAACTATAAATATGAGTTAAAAATAAGCCAGAACAACTTTAAATTAATGTATGTATTTCTATTCACCATAAGTAATCACAATCTATGTTAAATTTTAATTTGGATAAACTTATTTTTGCCAATATTGTACATTATTTAAAATTTTAAGAAAATATGTTTTATGAAATACCAATTTCTACAGCAAAGGGTTCTAGACACACAACATGTTTATGGTTTTTTTTTAATTAGAACTGCGTAAGTAGAGAAATTATTTATATTTTTAAAAAAATGTTCGATTCAAAAATAATTTTGTTAAAGATACGATGATTAAAAGGAAACTTAGGCCTAAAAATTGTGTATTATATAGTAAATGTAAAAAAAGAGTTTGTTTATAGATAAATCTTTACCGTTCAGGGCCTTGGGAATCGTCGACAGACACAGTGGCTTTATACTGCAGAACAAGAGGTATTTTATTGGTTTGGTTTTGGTGTTTTTATTTAATATATTTTATTTTGGTGATGGTGGTTGTTTTGGTCGGGCGGGCACAGATATAAACAACAGATTTTATATATCAATTGGAATGAATATTCAGCAATTGATTGTTAATATATATTTACAATAAATATATATATATAAGATGGTGGTGGTCCAGATGTATTAACAATAAGATCCAACATTTAAGTAGTAGGTACGTAGTTGAGAATTCGATACAAGTAATTGACACATTTGGCAGGTAGGTGTTCGGTCACAGGCATTCAGATTAGATCGAGTTGATTTTGGTCAAACGGGCATTAAGTTTATCGATCATTTAACAATTTATTTTATATAGTTTCAAACGGGCAGGCGGGCATTCGGCCAAAGATGGTGTAAGGTTGATGATTATTTGGTTGATTGATCGATTATTTTGTTGACCAATCAATTGGTAGGTCATTTGAGATTTTCATTTTTTATATTTTTTATATATATTTGTAGTTGTTGTATACGAACAACAAATCAATGAGATTTTGTTGAATTTGTTGATTGGTTGGTTGGGTGGTGGTCATGTTACAATACAATCATTGATTTTGATTTTAAAATTATTTTTATATATTTTTTATTTGAATTTATATTTTTATTTATTTGTATATATTAGAGAGGGGGGCGAGAAAAGAGAAAGAGAAAAAATTATAATTTAATTAATGGTTAATTGGCAAGGTTTATTATTTGTTGATTTATGTATTTATATTTTTTAAACTATATAAATGCATAAGATTTTAAATAAAGCTAAAGAGTTTTTCATATTAAACAAAATTGTTAAGTATAAATGGCCTAAAACGAGTTAAAATTATATTTATGTATGTTATAAATGTTTAAGTTATTTGATTTTATTATTTTAATAAAAATAAATTGAATTTTTGTTAAGAAATCATTGTAAAATGTAATTGTTATACTCCTTGAAAAAAAAAACAAATACCAGTAGCAGTTTGTATAGAAATTATTAAAAGCATTATGTAGTATAGCTATTCTAAAACCAATAAAAACCCCTTGGACATGGATGAATTTATAATTAGAATTTTATGTGGCAAAGCAAGAATATTCTCAAGAAGTGACAAGTCCCCTAAAACATACTTCTACAAACAACAGACAAATTTTCTTTGACGAGGGGCTTTTTTGTGAATCAACAACAATTTCGTGTGGCATTTGTCAACGTATTCGGGAAAATTTTCAAGAAATAGCAAATTTGAATTGTCAACAATAACAATAACAAAACAACTGACTGGTTTTACAATTTTTGATAGTACAGAAAATTATAGTTTAGTAAATTTATATATTAAGTTTCAAATTAGAAAAAAAATACACATTTAACTATAATGATTTAAGAATAAATATGTTTAGAGATATTAAAGTTTAAAAAGAAAATATACCTGTGTGCGCATTTTTTGTATATGCTGTCCTCCTTTGCCTATTATAGCACCGGCAATCTGAAAATAGAAAAAATGATCATGTAAAAATCTATATAAAAATTTGTAATCAAAATTTGTAAAAAAATAATTTATTAATGTATCTTAAGAGTATATATTCTGAAACTGCACAAAAAGTTCTTAGTAACTACACTGAAAGTCCTATTAACGACGATAGTTTGCTCCTTTATAGGTCGTCGGCTGTTTTATAGGAAAAGAAGGGGACTGCTGGTGCGATCGTTGCAGTTTGGGCGCCTCAGCAGCAGGCTTAGCTACTTCTGCATTAGCTGGAAGATATGAGTCCTTTTGCTAGGTTGCTTTGGGCCCAGTCAAGGGTTTGGCGCTATGACGCTCAACAATGAGTTCGGAGGAGTTTTGTGCCATAGGGAATCTGCTAATGATACACTGAAAGAGTCCGACATCGAGTTCGATGACTTTTCTGGTGAAGGAGGATACATCAGGTTCGACAATTCCTCTTTTGCACAGGGGGGCACTTGGGAGACATTTTTGTCATCCGAAGGCAGAGAAGCTCCGCTATGGCAATAGGATCCCCGGAGTTTTTTCTTCTTCTGACATCATGGGGAGGGGTGGAGATTTTGCATTTTTGACCTACTGCCGTCCCGTTGTAATCAGGCCATCAAGTCGCCCAGTATGGAACAGACGCAACACTTAAGTGTTGAAATCCCTAAAGGATTCAGTCGGACTACTCTACTAATTGCCCTATCTCAGTGATAGGAAAAGCAATCAGTAAAGAAATATGGACAGATAGCTCAATATGGGAAACAGATGTCTGCCAGGTGGGAGGGATAGTTCTTATTCGAAGTATATCGCTCGTCCTATAACAAGTCTGACAAAAGACTACTCTATTAATTTTCCTATCTCAGTGATAGGAAAAGCAATCAGTAGAGAAATATGGACAGATCGCCCAATGTGGAAGGAGGGATAGTTCTTATTCGAAGTATGTCGCTAGTCCTATAACAAGTCTGACAAGACTTATGATCCAACATGGATCATAGGATTCATTGCACGTAAGACTTCACATCGCGTCAAGATGACTATCCTTCGTAAATGGTAGCCTTCACTGAATTAGTAAATACAGTGCTTCTTGGCTTTAAACCAAAAATTTATATGTTGAATAATAATTGCCCTATCTCAGTGGTAGAAGCAAACAGTAGAGTAATACTTTTCGTGAAGGGTAGCCTTCCTTGATTTTAAACCAAAAATATTCAATTATATATGTTAAATACTATTTCGAGATATCAATCTAATGTTCATAGAAGTCATTGCACGTAAGACATCAAATCGCGTCAAGATAACTACCCTTCGTGAAGGGTAGCCTTCACTGAATTTCTTGATTTTAAACCAAAACTATTCAAATTTATACCAATTTTCACTCATATGAGATGATCTCTGATAGATTCCGGAACAATATTAAGATACTTATTGGACACAAAGTACAGATGTAGTCTATGGCTTTTAGGTTTATCCGGCTTTTCGAATTAAGACTCATATTTCCCCTATTTCGAGATATAAATCTACTGTTTCAGAAACTAAGGCAGATCCTTAGGATCTTAATCTTGTTCCATATCTTTGACTTTTCTTCTTTCTGCTTTTCTATTTAAGCTCTCTCCAATGGACCGCAGAGATTTACGAGTGCATAACTCTTTTGAACCTAAACGTACCTTGATACACGTTAATATTGCAGGTTAATCAAAAACTTGTTGGAATGTCCATCACATTGGTATGTTCTTTTTAATCTTGATAAAGAGAATGATAATACACTAAAACGGTCTGCAAGTGGAGTTGCAACTAATGGCTCTTCTGAACCGAACCGAACCTAACCTAACCTTGATACAAATATTACAAGTTAAATTAAAACTAAAACGTTATTTCATCAAACAGCAACAAAAAGTAATTTGGTGACACTCTTTAAATACAAACAAAAAACCTCTCTTGCATTCTATTCTCGCTACTGTCAAAAATGAGCCAATTAGACGTTAAAGACTCAATATTATTATTGTTATTGATTTTATTTACTTACATTACTGGGTATTAAAACACGAACTTGGTCGTCATTACGACGGCTACGTTTATCGGAATGGGGACCATCATCATGATTATCACGTTTCATTTTCATTCTTTCTGCAAAAAAAAAAATAAACAAAACAAATTATGATTAAAACTTTTATTATTTAATTAGGAAATAAAAATCAAAATAAAATATAAATTAAATTAATTTAATAATAAATATAAACAAACAAACATATTTATTATATCACTAACTAACCAGCCAACCGATATTTAGAGTTATACATAAATGAATGAATATTTCTATAACAACCACTTGTATTATGAACAACAACTACAGCAAAAAATAAATAATTATCTGAAGCTATTGAATGTTAAAAAACAACTAAATCTCGAATTTGTTAAATAACAATAAAATAATAAAATAAAAAATGAATGAATACGTTTGTGTATAGAATCAATGAATTTTTTTCGAAATACTTGTAGATACTTCGAAAAAAAAACTCACAGTAAATACAAAAACCATCAAAACACAGGTAGATACATAGAGTAGAGAGTTTAATAATTTTTTATACTTTTTTTTCTCCTTTAAAGACTTTAAAAAGTATTGCATTCATATGATATGATGGTAACGAAAGAAAAAATTGTATGTAATTCATTTCATATTGAGCCAACAAAAATATTTGATTTTTTTATTTATAAATGTGTGCATGAAAAGCTATGAGCTGGTGGCGGGCCAGCCTGTTAGACAGTTGGATGGTTTATTCTCTACATAAAAGAGTTTTGTACAATACGATTTTATGAATGCATAATATTATAATTTTAAATTTACTTTAAGTAGTTTTTTCTTATTTATATTTTGTATATTTTTATCTACCAACAGGTGTTGATGAATTGTTGTATACCGCCTCATAAGATTGTTTGAACAGAAAATCTGTACAACTAAAAGCAAAGTACAATATGAATGAATTGGTTTGTTGTTGAAAATTATTTAAATATTTATTTTAATTATCATAATTATGAAATGAATTCTTCCATCTATATAGTACTTAGAAAATAGTTTCAGCATAAATACTATGAACTGTTATTATTAACTTTGTAATATTCATGAATTGTTTCATAAATAGTATAAATTTTTATATATATTTTTAAACAAAATCTATTGAAATTTTCTCATTTCAGATTCTGTTTTTCAACATTTTATTGTCAAAAAATATAAAATCAGATTAATATAAACTTAAAATGTCATTTTCAATAACATATAGTTAATTATTCTGAAAAGACATGGTGTGCAAAAAACTCATGAAATAGAACTGAACTATAACTGAACTACAACTGAACTAGAACTGTAACTATAACTGAACTAGAACGACAGAACTGAACTAGAACTGAACTAGAACTGAAACTAGAACTGACTATAACTGACTAGAACTGAACTAGAACTACGAGACTAGAACTGAACTGACTAGAACTGAACTAGAACTGAACTAGAACTGAACTAAGAACTGAACTAGAACTGAACCTAGAAACTGAACTAGAACGAGACGAGAAACTGAACTAGAACTGAACTAGAACTGAACTAGAACTGAACTTAGACTGAACTAGAACTGAACTAGAACGTGACTACTAGAACATGAACCTAGAACTGAACTAGAACTGAACTAGAACTGAAACTAGAAAGGGCTGAACTAGAATGAACTAGAACTGACTAGAACTGAACTAGCAACTGAACTAGAACTGAACTAGAAAACTGAACTAGAACTGAACTAGAACTGAAAACTAGAACTGAACTAGAACTGAACTAGAACTGAACTAGAACATGAACTAGAACTGAACTAGAACTGAACTAGAACTGAACTAGAACTGAACTAAGAAACTGGAAGAACTAGAACTGAACAACTAGAACTGAACTAGAACTGACTAGAACTGAACTAGTGAACTAGAATGAACTAGAACTCGAACTAGAACTGAACTAGAACTATACTGAACTAGAACTGAACTGAGAACTGAACTGAACTGACTAGAACTGAACTAGAAATGAACTAGAACTGAACTGACTGAACTAGAACTGAAGTAGAGTGAAAGACAATCATTGTTTTCAGAAATAATTCTCTAAACTACTCTTATTTTTGTGTAAAATTTCTAAAACGAGACTTAACACCTTTGTAAAATATAAGTAAATTTATTCTAATCGAATAAACTTGTTCTCGGTGCCATACATTTCTGTTTACAAGAGGCCTATTTTTTCGATATTTAATGTTATAAACCTACACCTATCATACCTTTACATGTTCTATATATAATTTTGTATAAAGAAAATGCTTACAATAATTGGCATAAAATAAAAATGTTATTCAATTGTCGCAAATTATTAACATATAAAAGTTCATGGAGGTGTTAAAAGTTTCTTGCAAAAGCGCAAGCCAAAAGCAGCATCCTCCTACTTGTTGCAAAGAAGAATTAATGATGACAGCAAATAGTTTTAACAAAAATGTGTAAAAATAAAATATTTTTATATTAACAATAATAAATAATACAAAAGAATAAAATGTATTTGTTATTTTAAAGGATATAAATTTATAAGTTATCTAAAAGAATGGAAAGTGTAGAACCGAAGTTAACCATTTATTTTGAAGGCCCAATATATTGGTCCAACAAATCTGATATTATAGACAAATTCTAAAAGAAGAAAGCGGCGAAAGTCTTCATTGAATTTGCAATAATTTTTAACTTTGTAAATTACTAGAGAAAGACTTTTTTCACCAGACAATTTTAAAAATTTGGTTTTTTATCTTTTTAGTTTTCATTAATATTACCACCTTTTAGTAAATAATTTCAGCCAGAAAATGTTTATAAAGCCGTTAATTTAAATAAAATTTATACATGTAGTTTAAAATATTTGTGCAAACGTGTTAGCATTTATTTTTTTATCATATTTTAACATCATAGTTTTTACAAAAAGCAAAAAAAAACGTTGTATAGAAAAAAATTTATAAATTTTTTTAATAATAAAGTTAAAAAAATGAAAAAAATTAAATTTAATAATATCTGTATACATGTATATTTAAAACATACAACCTATCTACATCACATTTATTTATTTGATATTTGAAAACATGTATGAAAGCAAACAAAAGCAAAAAAAAAAGGAATTTCATTCCATGATTTTACCACTTTATATTCAAATGTATATTTGAAACATAAGTATCATACATCATTACTATCAAAATTGTAATCATAGCCACAATATACATATGTATATGGGTGGGTTCTGCATATACAAGTCTATGTCTGCAAATGACAACACTACTCGTATGTTAGTAGAATGGATGTGGAGTACAGATGATGACCGAATTCCCGCAAATACATACATATAATGGTGTTGTTTTTTTGTCTTTAGCTTATGACTAAATATTTTCCCCAAAAAAACTTTAACAAAAAAAATTTAAATGATTGAAATTTATTTCAATTGAAAGTAAAGATTTGAACCCTTTGATAATACAAATCATTTCATGTAATTACAAATATACAAAAAACCCCTATACAAAAAGAAAGTCTTTATATAACCTATTAAAATATTAATATTTTTTTATTTACATTTTGTAGTTTATTTTTCTCTTAAATTAACTATTAGAAATTCTCATGTTTATTTTGTATATCATTTCCTAAATCGAAACATAATGTATTAAAAATGTTTATGAATGTAGGTTGATGACTGACTGGACGCTTGGGCATAAGTTTTTGTTTACACTTACAAATCAAGCATATCAAGTGTCAGATTTTCGCTATCAAGTAAGTACAACCTACACTTTTCTATTTAACTGTACAATATATTGGGCTTAATAATGAATTTCTCTGTATTGTTGTATATATTTTGATTAAAAGTTTTTTTTTCGTTTTTGACATTGAATGGACAATTGAAACAAAAGGTAAACTTATATTTCTAATTTCATGTAACAAAGCTCTGTATGTAATAAAGTTTTTTAATTCTCTATGTATGTATATTAAAATAGCTTCAATTATGTATATTAAGAGAAAAACTAAAAAACTTAATGTTAGAATTCGTCAGAATAAAATTAAGGACTATTTTGACATTCCAACAGAACAACAAAATTAAAATCGTAATAGAATTGACCTAGAACTGAGCTAGAATTATACTAGAGCTGATTAAAACCGTTTAATTTGAACTGAAGTAGATTCGAACTTGAAGTGAACTACAACTGAACGAGAATTGAACTAGAACTGAACTACGACTGAACTAGAACTGAACAAAAACTGAACTAGAATTACACTAGAACTGTTTGAAATAGTTTAATTTAAACGAAACTAGAAGCGAACTAGAAACGAAACAGAAATGAAATAGAACTATAACTGAACTAGAACTGAACTACAGCTGAATGAGAACTGAACTAGAACTGAACTAGAACTGAACTAGAACCGAACTACAATTGAACTAAAACTGAACTAGAACTGAACTAGAACCGAACTAGAACTGAACTAGAACTGAACTAGAACTGAACTAGAACTGAACTAGAACTGAACTAGAACTGAACTAGAACTGAACTAGAACTGAACTAGAACTGAACTAGAACTGAACTAGAACTGAACTAGAACTGAACTAGAACTGAACTAGAACTGAACTAGAACTGAACTAGAACTGAACTAGAACTGAACTAGAACTGAACTAGAACTGAAATAGAACTGAACTAGAACTGAACTAGAACTGAACAAGAACTGAACTAGAACTGAACTAGAACTGAACTAGAACTGAACTGAACTAGAACTAACTAGAACTAACTAGAACTGAACTAGAACTGAACTAGAACTGAACTAGAACTCAACTAGAACTGAACTAGAACTAGAACTAGAATTAGAACTGAACTAGAACTGAGCTAGAACTGAACTAGAACTGAACTAGAACTGAACTAGAACTGAACTAGAACTAAACTAGAACTGAACTAGAACTGAACTAGAACTGAACTAGAACTGAACTAGAACTGAACTAGAACTGAACTAGAACTGAACTAGAACTGAACTAGAACTGAACTAGAACTGAACTAGAACTGAACTAGAACTGAACTAGAACTGAACTAGAACTGAACTAGAACTGAACT